CTCCACTTCCAGGGGCACATGGAATTAACGCCTTGAAAAGGTTTTCTTGTTCCTCTTCTGCTGCCTTTTGAGCAGGTAAGGCAGCCCCTGGGGAGCAGGCCATTTTCCCAGGGCAGAGCTTTGCTGAAGACAAGTGTCCGTGTTCTGTGGCTGAGAGCCATGGGCCACGCACCTTTTAGGTATCTTGGCATAGAATACAAATGATGCTATTTATACCTACTTGCTTTGTCAAAAGCTGGCTACACTTGACTCTTGGTAGCTCATGGGCCAGCCAAGTCTTTTGCACAGAATCCATGTTGCATTCTCCCACCATTTTCTTGGCCAACGCTAACTTTATTTCCCTCTGCCCCCAAAATATTCTGCTCCCAGTCACCAGCAGATCTTCGGGCGTGGATTTTTTTTTTTTTTTTTTACTGGTTTGATACCATAAGAGTACCTATGAAGTAACTAGGGTGAGGTTCAAATATAACTCTAAAGATGCCCCCCTTCCTTTCCCCCACTCTCCAGATTGAACCAGTTCCAGAACATGATTAAAATATCATTTTTCAGAGCTCTATAAATAGATGGATTCTCATTTCTCCTCTTAAGTACTGTTTGCTAAATGTTTTGGCCCAAAAGTTCAGTCATTCCACGCCGGCATTAATCAATACAGGAGACATTAGCAGTTACTCGCTCAGATGAGATTTGACATTAGTTTTCCTCTGCCCTCGGGGAGGGGAGGGGAATGTTGCCTAATAAAGATGAAGGGTCTTTTCTTCTTTTGTATGAAATGCAAATGTTGAGGACATGGATGGTATACATTTCTCAAAAGCAAGCAAGGCTGCTGCTTTTTGTTGAGAAAGAGAGGAAAGGCCTGGGAGGATTTTAGAATTTGTAAATATAAAATTATCTGCCTCGGCGTTTAAAAAAATCATAAAAGGGAGAAAGAGTTGGCAGGTTGCCAGATTACTTACATTACAGTAATAGATTTGCTGACCCCTGACTTCTGCTGTAGAGAAATGTATTGAATTTTTCATAATATCAGATGAGGCAGATCTAAAATCCTAGTACACTGAGCACCATTATTTAACTTGAGATTTAACAAAGCCGAAATCTTTACAAACCAGCAATTTCATGTATAATGATAATTTAGTGGCTCAGACGCTAATAAATCAAGGTTATAATGCCATTGATTTGTTCATTTTAATTTGGGTTGATTTTAAGTTGTCTTTATTTAAAAAAGAAAGCAAAAGAAGCAGGAGAAAAGAATCTTGCTTTTCACAGTGACTGAATTTAATAAGAATCTTCTTGATAGCAAAAGGCTCCCCTACTGTTTCTGCTTTGGGGTGGAAAATGTTATTCTTGTATTATTCCGAGGGAAAAGAAATCTCATGCTGCTACAAATCTCATGTCTATGGCAAGATGTTATTTTTTAATACAGGATGGCTTACCTATTTCAGATCCATTAATGGCATCATAAATAAGCATTTTGCTAATCTGAAATGTGAAATCTGGATAATAATAAAGACCCATTTATCTGCCCAGCTTTCAATCCTCAGACTAGATGTAGATCATGGGGGGATCTTTCTAATGAATACATTGCTTCTTTCTCCATTACTTCCACCCACCTTAAACCCAGCCTGCATTCTCAGCGTTGCAGTCCATGGAAAAGATTTCTCCTGTGTAATGAGTTCTTGGTGGCTGAGGTGCATTTTTGCTTTTATCTGTGCAGTCTGGAGACTGATTGAATCTTTGTTGTACTACAAATATCTGAGGAATAATCATCTGCAAGGTACAGGCATGTTGCATTCTACTAAATTCTTTATATAGTACACACCTCCTCAGCTTCCTGCATTGGGCAATGTTGACCTTCTATTGGCGAACCTGTTTTTAACGCTATCGCATGTACGTTAAACGTTTCAATGTTCAGAAACTTATAATAGCTTCCCTCCCTTATACTGTAAAAACCTCTAATAATCAGATGATAAGATCACATCCTGTGGGGTAATTGTATTGTACCATGACAGGATGACTGAAAAACATTCAGTGAAAATCGCAGCAAACGGAAATCCCTACATGAACAGTGATTGTTTGGGTGCCGTGAGAGACCATGCCCTGTTCTTCAGGGGCTTAGCTGGTCATATTTCTACTTGTTTCCTTTTAGCTGCTGCCTTTCTTGTTTTATTTTGGGAGCCTTTTTTTCACTGAGCCACTATAATTATCTTTCAGTGATTTAGAACGGAAAAAAAACAACACACTCAATTGACCTTTATACACACACACATTCTCTCTCTCTCTCTCTCTCTCTCTCTCTCACACACACACACACACACACACACACACACACACACTCCCTTTGGAAGCCTGAACAAGCAGGGCTTATGTTTGGATTCAGTTTTACCTTAGTCATGCCTCTTTCCAGATACAAGAAACATTTAATTCCAGATTTCCTGCTTCTGGCTTTAGGCCTTTGACCAGCAAAGTGAAATGTATTTTTTACTGCTGTCGGCCAGCCAGCTGCTGAGTTGAGTGAAGAGGGGGAAAAAAATAAAAGAAAAAAGAAATGAAATGAAAAGAAAAAAGAAATGAAATGGAAATGTTGCCCTGCCTCTTGAACTTGCAAAATTGTACAAGGAAATTACAGCCTCCTTAGCACCCATCTAGAGAGCTGGGTCGGCCCAGGACTGTCAGGACCGGAGGGGAGGGGTCCTTTGGGGCCCACCTTGGGTGTCTCTTCCACCCAAGTCACTGCTTCTGCTCCAACCCCCCTCCCCACACTCGGAGGTAATGCTGTCATCCTTCTCACAGGAGAGGGTCTCCCCTGATGTCTCTATCTCAGTTGGAGAATGGAGTTGGGAGAAGGGTGATAACCATTGGAATAGCCAGACTTCAATGCTCCTTGGGTTCCCATGGCAACCAAACAAAAGCAAAACAAACCTATCTGCCCCAACAATAAAAATATGCTTTCAGTGAAGTCAATTTAAGATATTCTTTCCAATTTAAAACATTCCATGAATTTAGCTCCCGGATAAAAATCCCCCACTTGCCAGTGTCTAAGGGGATAAAGTCCCTGGCAGGACCACGCCGATAAAAGGAACTGGGGGGAATGGTGGGACTTTACAGGTGAGACAAATAAATTCAAGTATGAACAAGATTGCTTTTTTCCTCTCTTCTTCTGCTTAGTTATGCTTTTTATTATATAAACATTCACTGTAATATTACAGTGGGAAGCAGGTATTTGGCAGCCATATATTATTTTAGTAAGTCTACATGGAGAGAACAGTTTCCAGTTTTAGCAGCTGTAACATGTTTAAACTCAGTTTGTAATGGGATCTGAAGATAACTATTCCCCATGGGCTGTGTTGATCTTCATGGCTGGCCCACTGCCAGATGTAGGGCTCGAAACTGTTATTCACGCCTCCTTGCACATACCTTGTCCGAGCATGCTCAGTAAATGAAATTTGTTCCTAATATGCTATAAATTGGGATTTGATTTTCCCATCATCTGCATGGTGTTTTATTGAAGAGTGAAATCTTATGATCACAAATGTCCCCATGTCTATACTCGCAAACCCGAACGGTTGTGTATGTTTAAGTAGTTGAGATTCAAATTACGTAGTTAGAAACCAATTCCAGGATCGCCAACAAATATCCACACCAAAGAAGTTTCTGCCTGGGAGTCTTAGTTTAAAAATAATTAGGGTTCCCGATATTTGAACAGATTTATGTTGTTTATAAGCCAAGTACATTTTCTTCATTGAGTCAACTTGTCTTATTTAAAACAAATTATGGTTGCTGTATTAAAGTTCATATTTTTAAGGCTGAGTCTTGTATTAATCCCACAGTGAGTCATTAATCATACCAAATGCATTATAAGAACTTTAATCACTGAAGTTGAAACTGAGATTGTAATGCAATCCATCCCTTTTAATTACATCAGCTATTTTTCCCTTTCAGATCAAGAGCTACGGCGCAAAGGGGAAACAGATTAAAACTAGAGCTGTTTGATGTTTCTCTTTTTAGAGCAATTTTATGTACTTTGTATAAAAAGTTATGTAATTAAAATGCTTGCATTTTTCAGCCCTCTGATTTTTATGGCCAGAGTGGTCTGTCCACCTTCCTTCTTACTGGGGCCCTCTTTTACTTGGCACCCCTAAACCGCACCTCCTGCTGCGGTCACCTCCCCCTCCCTCTCCCCCCCCTCCCACCCCGTCCCCACCAGAGCTGCTGTGTGAGACAGCTGTCTCTCAGCCACACTGTGCTTGCCTCCCATTAAGGTCTTTATCTTAAGTGTCTGGTCTATATTTTGGCACGACAAAAATATAAACTTTGGAGATGGGAAAAAGTGGCTCAAATTCTATCTCTATCAACTGGTGTGACTCTTAGGCAAATTCTGTAACCTTTTGGTGCCTCAGTTATCTCATCAGTTCATAATAATATTAGTAATCATTTTTTATTATTGGTATGATATAATAAATAATATGGTAATTTACTCCCTAGGGATGTTATGACATGACATATATTATGTACCTGGGGCAGATACTAGTACATTAGAATATAAGCCTCATGAGGTCAGGCATTGGATCTTCTGTTTGCTGCTGTATCTTAGTGCCTAGAGCAATGTCTGGCACAAAGTCAGTGCTCAATAAATAGTTGTTGGCAGAATGATGAGTAAACAGCAGCTATCATTATTGCTGCTATTATTGTTGTGATGTCATTGCTGGCACTTAGCCGGGTTCCATGCACAGCGATGATGATGTAAACTTGGATGCTTCCACTGTCACCCTTGGTGTATAGATTTACAGAACCAGAAAGCAATCTTGCAAAGAAGTCAGTAGGCACTGGTTTTGAGTAGGGAGGTAACTGTGGAGTACGTTTCTAGAAAAGCGTTGGCGTCACTGGAAATAAAGTCACGCAATAAGTTGCTTGTATTGAGAAAAGAAAATAAGCCATAACCGTTGCTAATGGAATTGCCTGATTAATCATCCCCTGACTGATCGTGTCTCCTGATATCCTTTTAGGTTAATCCTGCCATATGAAAGGTTTATTAAAGGAGAGGAAGACAAGCCCCTGCCTCCAATCAAACCTCGGAAACAGGAGAACAGTTCACAGGAAAACGAGAATAAAGCAAAAGTATCAGGAACCAAACGCATCAAACATGAAATCCCCAAGAGCAAGAAAGAAAAAGAGAATGCCCCGAAGCCCCAGGATGCCTCAGAGGTGAGTCGCTCTCCGCCCCAGACATACCACCAGGACCTGTCCCACCTCAGGGTTTCCCGATCCCTGCACCCTTAGCTGAGACCTGCACCCACAGCTGTGACCCTACACAGTTGCAGTGCTACCCTGAGAAATCAAGTCATCTCAGCTTCGCAATTCCCTCAGTAGCGGACCATTCCGCTTGTTCCAGGGCTGAAAGGCAGTCTGTGGTATTGAATGGACGATAGGATCCAGAAAGATGTGAGCATCCCGTAGGAAACGGATAGCGTCCACTGACTCAGAGAGACGGAGCCAGAGCTCCAGCCCTGTGAAGCTGGGGGACGCCAACATGAAAGATACGGCTTTGCCGTTTCCAGCCAGTCTATCCGAGGAAGTGGTGTGACTTTAAGAGTGCTCCGTGGGGCCTGGTAGGGAGGGCCGTTGAAATGGATGTGCTGTGTGTCTGCGGGAGGGACCTGGAAACTTCAGGGACGCCTTTGTCTCCTGTAATGGACCTGTATGCAGCAGCCTTGGGTTGAGACCAGTTTAGAAACATCTTAAGCACATATTATTTATGGGGAGATTTTGAAATGGTTCCTCTGAAACCATTATTATCTCTCATGTTAACAGGTAGTTTCTGAACCTTTTAAAACAAGCCTCAGCTACCCGCAGCACCCCCACAGTTCCTTGGTAGAAGCCATTAATGTCAGCACACAGCCAGTCATGGAGGCTGATCTGGGCTCTGTTTCAACATGAATAATAAAAACCCTGCTGCCCATAAAAAACAAACAAAAAAAAAACTTAGCAGCCACATTTGGAGACAGCATGTTCTAAGATTCAACCCCAGAGGGAATTTTGTTGCTGATATTAAACACCCCCTAAAAAAATCAAGTTTATAATGAACACATAAGAGACTCCCTAATTAAACACTGGTTTAAAACACACACAACACAACACCACAATCTCTTACCTAGAATTCAACTTACCCCACTGAATCCTGTGTAAGAAGATAATATTAATACGAAGATGAAATTTGTTTTTTGTTTCACAATTATTTCAAGCTCTGGAAATTAAAAAGGTTGGGGGGAGGGGGGGAAGAGGTGATGCAAAGATTTCTAAATATCTGCAAGCTTGCAACATAAATAGCCAAAAGCAAGGAAATTCCAAGTGAAGGCTTGCATTCCATTCTTCCTTTACCCTGTTGGCCTGGTGATTTATTATGGGTTTTGGAGCAGTGAGTTCTATTAGATACCATATGTACAGCATTGCCAAAGCACCAGGGGGCAAACTGAGGACCAAGAGGCCAGCTGACCTTTGAACGGCTCCACTTTGGGGACGAAGTTTAAAATGGTTGGTTTGTAAATTGTGGGAGGAATCCTCAGCCCATGCCCTGAGCCCATCAGCTGAGGGGATGACCACTGTCAGGTGTGAAGCCAGATGTCCTGCAGACCGTAGAAACCCTTAAAGCCTTTGTCCTATAGATCCCAGCAGTTCCCTTCAGGGAGCTGTTAGTGTCTTGAGTATCAAAGATTATTATGATCAGGTTATCTAAACTACCTGGAATCTGCCCTGGCCGGTGTGGCTCAGTTGGTTGAGCGTCATCCCATGCACCAAGAGGCTGCCAGTTCAATTCCTGGTCAGGGCACGAGCAGGAGGCAGCTGATCGATGTTTCTCTCTCACATTGATGTTTCTCTCTCCCTCCCTTTCTTTCTAAAATCAATTTTAAAAAAACTTATTAAACTACCTGGGATCTCATACCCTCTTCAAGGTTGACCTTATAAGTAAGAAGTGTTCCCCACCTCCAACATAGACCCATGTTATTGTCCAGGTATATTTCTTCCCACTAATGATGTGTCTGGAGCTGTGAGTCAGGATTTTATTGTTGTCATTGTTTTGTTTTTCATTTTTGATGTTTTCAATATGAAGTAGTGAACTCAGTAGAGATAGGAGGGCTTATAAAGCCCTCCTTGCCCTAGCCGGTTTGGCTCAGTGGGTAGAGCATCGGCCTGTGGACCAAAGGGTCCTGGGTTCGATTCCGGTCAAGGCCACGTACCTCAGTTGCAGGCTCCTCCCCAGCCCAGGCCCTGGTTGGGGTGCGTGCAGGAGGCAACCAATTGATGTGTTTCTCTCACATCCATGTTTCTCTCTGTCTTTCCCTCTCTTCCACTCTCTTCGAAAAAAATCAATGGAAAAACATCCTTGGGTGAGGATTAAAAAAATAAATAAATAAAGCCCTTCTCATCAAACCCGATATCCTTGGATTGGATTGCAAGTTACCTGGTGGGAAGATACCACTTAACATACTAAGGGCAGATCAGAAAATTCCATCCTTCACCTTTTTCTGTCTAGCTTTCAAAGACCTCCTTAACCTGTTTTACAATCAAAAGCATGGAACTCCATGTAACTGAAGGCCTAGGTCATAGAAAGTTCATTGGAACTGAGTATCCCTGATAGCCCCTCTTCAAATTCCAGTCCCATCAGAAACTGACATTCAAGTGCAATGCCTTTTTCCCTGGCTGTACTCATTTTTTCTGCATTTCTTGTAATGCAAAAGCTCAGGAGACCAGTGATGTTGTTAATGTAGAACAAGTAATGATAGTTGTACTGAAAAGGCAACTACTAGTACCAAAAAATGAAAGGTGGCACAAAAAGGTTCTTAGGTATAACACAAATCTAAAAAAACAGGGATATCTTTAAGTGGATTTAAGGAAAAATATTGATTAAATGGATGTGTTTCCTTAAAATTTTTAGCCCTATGCATCCCTACCCCAGCATCCCCAATCTTACCCGAAAATGCTACTGTGGTCAAAACTTCTTTTCTTAACAAAGAAGAACGATGTTCATGGAGATGAGATGGGCGAGTTGGGGGGTGGGGGATGGGGAGGCGAAGACCAGTTCAATACAACTGTTTTGGGACTATTCTCCACTAAGACAGGTCAGGACAGAATGACAGAAGTTTTTAAAGACCTTGTCCGTCAGCTGGGTCACAGATGGAAAGTGAAAATGACCTTCAAAGGTCAGAGTTTGCACAGCTACATAAAGCAATGAATGGGTCGAATTGTGCCCACAACTTCTATGAATAGGGACACACAAAGGGCATCCATCTCATGGACCACAATTTATTTCAATGAACAGAGAAGCTGTGTTTGTGCTGGCGCTCACTGCCTGAATTTGACAACTTCATTTTCAGCTTTCATGGAAATGTAGCTTGCTGCAGCCTGGAAGGACTTAGAGCCCTCCTGTCCCTCAGGTAGTCAGGCCGATGTTGCATCTCCATCATCTTTCAATACTTCAGCTTATCTGCATGTCACATGGCACTGAGTAGAAATTACAAACACTTAAGCATCACTGACTTTATGCCTCCATTGGACACATTAGGACAAGATACACTCTGTCAAAGAACGGCAGGGAGTATCGGTGAGTTTGTTGATTGTTTGTTGACATGGGGGTGGTTAGATTTTTGAAAGAGAGATGCTTTAAAAAAAATCTTTCTCCAAAGTGTCATAAAGCACAACATGTAATTTAAAACCCATTTGGATAATTGACTGATTTGACAAGAAGACAACCTCAGAATTAAACTATATATTAGACTCAAGGAGTGATATGATTGTATACCATCAGTACATAACACTTTGATAAGTGCCTCATAAGGGACTAAAGTGAATATGCATATTTCCCCTAATGTTTCTGTAATTTAGATTTCTTTGTTTAGAGCTATGATCAGGGAGTGATAAAGCTTTACAGAAACTATGTGAACTGATTGACAAGCCTATTTCCAAGAAAAACTGCTGCATGTAATATTCTATTTCATAGCAAAATGTGTCAATGCACTTGGCTTCCTTCTGACTGTCTTGCAATATTTTATCAGGTTTCTTCAGAGCAAGAGAAGGAGCAAGAGCCTTTAAACCAGAAGAGCATCCCCGAGCCTCTCCCCGCAGCAGACTCGAAGAAGAAAATGGAAGGGTACCAGGATTTTGCCGCCAGGCCCCTGGTGTCTACAGCAGACCCAGAAAAGGAGAACAAAGCAGATCCAAGTGCCAACAGCGAGAAGATGGCAGAGGAGGCGGGAGAGAAGGGGCCCTCTCCTCCACTCCCGAGTGCCTCTTCCGCCCCCGACAGGGACCCAGGGGCTGGCAAACAGCCTCTCACCTCTCCCAGCGCTCTGGTCGACTCAAAACCGGAACCCAAGCCCTGCTGTTTTACAGAGAGCCCTGAAAACGAACCCCAAGACACAGCCTTCCCTGGCTTTCCCGCCACGCAGCCACCGCTGGCAAACCAGAGCGAGATGGACGATGACAAAGTGCCCGCCATGGCAGACTACATCGCCAACTGCACCGTGAAGGTGGACCAGCTGGGCAGCGACGACATCCACAACGCGCTGAAGCAGACCCCGAAGGTCCTAGTGGTCCAGTCGTTCGACATGTTCAAGGACAAAGACCTGACTGGGCCCATGAATGAGAACCACGGACTCAATTACACCCCCCTGCTCTACTCCAGGGGCAACCCAGGCATCATGTCCCCGCTGGCCAAGAAAAAGCTCTTGTCCCAAGTGAGTGGGGCCAGCCTCTCCAGCAGCTACCCCTACGGCTCCCCACCCCCTTTGATCAGCAAAAAGAAACTGATCGCCAGGGACGACCTGTGCTCGGGTCTGGCCCAGGCCCACCACGGCCAAAGCACTGACCACACGGCGGTCAGCCGGCCCTCGGTGATTCAGCACGTGCAGAGCTTCAGGAGCAAGCCCTCCGAGGACAGAAAGAGCATCAGTGACATCTTTAAACATGACAAGCTGAGTCGATCGGATCCCCACCGCTGCAGCTTCTCCAAGCATCACCTCAGCCCCCTTGCCGACTCCTATGTCCTGAAGCAAGAGATCCAGGAGGGCAAGGAAAAACTATTGGAGAAGAGGGCGCTCCCCCACTCCCACATGCCCAGCTTCCTGGCCGACTTCTACTCCTCCCCGCATCTCCACAGCCTCTACAGACACACCGAGCATCATCTTCACAACGAACAGTCATCCAAGTACCCGTGCAGGGACATGTACAGGGAATCGGAAAACAGTTCCTTTTCTTCCCACAAACACCAAGAAAAGCTCCATGGAAACTATCTCTCGTCGCTGCACCTGCAAGACAAAAAGTCAGCTGCAGCCGAAGCCACCACGGATGACCAGCCGACAGACCTGAGCCTTCCCAAGAACCCGCACAAACCCACCGGCAAGGTCCTGGGCCTGGCCCACGCGGCCCCGGGGCCCCAGGAGAGCAAAGGCGTCTCCCAGTTCCAGGTCATAAACAGCCACAGTCGAGACTGTCACCCCAAGGCCTGCCGGGTGTCCCCCATGACCATGTCGGCTCCTAAAAAATACCCCGAGGCGCTCTCAAGATCGGCAAAACCCCACCATGTGAGACTGGAGAATTTCAGGAAGATGGAAGGCATGGTCCACCCCATCCTGCACCGGAAAATGAGCCCCCAGAACATTGGTGCCGCACGCCCCATAAAGCGCAGCCTGGAGGACTTGGACCTGGTGATCGCTGGGAAAAAGGCCCGGGCGGTGTCTCCCCTGGACCCATCCAAGGAGGTCTCTGGGAAGGAGAAGGCCTGTGAGCAGGAGAGCGAGGGCAGCAAGGCGGCCCACGGTGGGCGTTCCGGGGGCGCGTCGGAAGGCCACAAGCTGCCCCTCTCCTCCCCTATCTTCCCAGGTTTGTATTCTGGGAGCCTGTGTAACTCGGGCCTCAACTCCCGGCTCCCAGCAGGGTATTCTCACTCTCTGCAGTACTTGAAAAACCAGACTGTGCTTTCCCCACTCATGCAGCCCCTGGCTTTCCACTCGCTTGTGATGCAAAGAGGAATTTTCACGTCGCCGACCAGTTCTCAGCAGCTGTACAGACACTTGGCTGCGGCCACACCTGTAGGAAGTTCGTACGGGGACCTTTTGCACAACAGCATTTACCCTTTAGCTGCTATAAACCCTCAAGCTGCCTTTCCATCTTCTCAGCTGTCATCCGTACACCCCAGTACAAAACTGTAAGCCCGGCTCTACCCAGCATCCCACACGGCGTTGGCTAAGAGATCTTTACTCCTTCCCCCTGGGGTGATGGCTTGTAGAATTAGAAGTCCGTATTTCTTCTAATCTGGGGGTAAGATCAGTTCCAGCCGAAGCGGCCGAGCGGGGAGGTGAACAGACCTGATTTTTCTGGGACGACACCAGCCTTGGCTGGTCAGTCTTGAGTCCCTTGCAACACAGATGCCCTCGCACCCCAGATGGTTCACTTCGCACGGGGCTCGCGTGGAGGGGGTTATGCGCACCCAGGAAGAACTTAGAGGGCCCCGTCTGAGTTCCCATGGCCAGGAAACAATCTGGGCAAAAAAGGGGCAGGCATTTCAAAGAAAGGGGCAAGGAAGACTGGCAGACATGCCAAGCGAGGCCCCTGTTTTCATAAAACTCCAAGGTTCAATCAATGCAATGTATAGTGAAACTTCAATAGATCTTTCCTTTTGACACTATTGAACAATCCAGAGAAGTAAACACTGTTAAATTGACTGTATATATTTGCTTCTTAAAACTACCCGTATCACTGTTTGCTCACCTAATTTATATACAGGTAGTTCCATTTTCTCCCAGTTCCTTCTTGTCTTTTTTTTTTTTAATTAAACAGTATCGCTTTTGTTTGCAGGTCTTTTGTTTTTGTTTTGTTTTGTTTTGTTTAAGACTGACTGACTATCCTAGTTTTGGAGGGGTGTTTTTAATTCCCCCCCCCCCCCCCCCCCCGCTCCCCACATCTTATCATTTTGAGCAGCTTTGGGTGGTAAAGTTAATTGTTTACAAATTGAAGCAACTGATTCTAGTGGAACAAATGAGAAAGAAACAGATGAGCACACCATAGTGCAAAGAACGTTCCTTTGCAGATCCGCAACTTACGGACTTTGTTCCTCATTAATGGCATAGTTGAAAGAGCTTATACACTGCTTACCCGACCAAATGCTTTGCTTTGAAGTATGGGGTTATGTGAACATATCGAGCCTTGTACTTACCTTATCTAGGCTGTGAAACTGTCCTACATACCAGAGGAATCATAAAAACAAAAACCTCACTGGCAGCAAGCTGCTGAATAACAGCAGAGTCTAGAGGACATACTTGTGGGCTGCGCAGATATTTTAGGAATTTCAGAAATTAGAACAGGAGCCAAAATGATTTACATTGGTGTTGGCCCTGGTCCCTTTAAGCAGTCCGGGAAAGGGGGTTGGGAAGAGGATGGAACTTGACTCTCCAAAGAAAATGAGCAGCTGGAGGCCTAGGCCCCAGGTACCTACCTTCCCTGGGCCGTGGTCTTTGGAGTAATAGGTAATCGAGTTGCCTTCATCATATTGGTTTCTTGATGTTCCCAAGAAGACCCTTCCAGGCCACATCTGTGGGGATAATTGGCATACTGGATTACCCACGTCAAAAGAAAGTCATCTTTGGGTTTCTTGGGCGTGAGTTTTATGTATAAACAAGCACTCACTTGCGGTGGTTGGTGTCCTGTTTGTAACCACCTGGCAATATAGCCCGCTCTACCGTTTATATCAGTGTTGGAAAGAAGCGGCCAAGCTGTTCAAGCAGTCAAAAGATGTGGAGAATGTATCTTGTCATTCTTGCCACGTTATTCCACTTGCTGTCAAGATGTAACATCAAGGTGGATGCATTTCCTAAGTGTGTTAAAGGCCGATGACCCAGAGCCTGATTTTCTTCTCAAGTCCCATCCCTGCTGATAGGAATGCTTTGATGAACTCCCCGGCCAACCCTCCCCTCCCCCAACACTACTAGTAGACATTAGAACCATAGTTAACCAAGTCTTTTACCTCTGAGATATTTAATTCTATGAAAATTGATGACAATTTTCAACCTCTAGGTAACTCGACTGCAAAAATAATCAAAACTGGTAAACAATGAAACTGCGGCTCTTAACCGAAGCCATGCATGCCGTGCATTTGTATTGAAATGTCTCCATGATACGAAGCCAAATATTCAGTGTAACATACTTACTATCCAAAGGTGGAAACAAAAGAATGTAGAGATCTAGTGTTAAGAGTTCCATTTGCTTCAATTAATTATTTACCTTCCTGTGGAATAATATATATATATATTTAATAGAACCATAGATAGACTAGTAGAATTTAGATTATAAATGTGTGAGTGCAGATTATCCTGCTATTGCACAAGATAGAGGGGGGGAAGAATCTCAATTCCAGCTGGCAAAGCGCTAGCCAGGACCGATCTAAGAAAGTTGCACTAGATTGGATGGTCACAGAATCAGAGGACATGGAAGACAGAGCAAACTCCAGTGTTTCTGCAACCGACCTGGGCTAGATCAGACGTGGTTTCTATGAGTTTGTTTCTCAAAGAAAATGGGGAGCCGTCTGTCCCTGGTGGAGCTCACCTATCCATTTGGAATATGGGGCATTTGTTTTCCCCACTGGGATGATTTCAGTCTGGTTTCATCATGTTGGAATTTGATCACACCATTTTCAAACAATGTTAACATAGTCCAGCTTTTGTTTTTCTCATCTCTTCCAAGAGGAGACTCACTGTTTCTGTCTGAGGAAGCTCATACCCTCGGCAAAACATCAGGACAAATACAGAGAAATGGGGGCACACATTCCCAACAGAAGCAGTGTGTTATTTGTTTTAAAACTCCGAACAGAGATCTTGGAAATCTTTCAAAAAGACCATTGAATTCTTCATTGGCTGAGAACTACATTTTAAAAAGTCTTAAATGGGGCTTTGTTTGCATTGTTTGAGTTCAAGGGGCCTTATTATTGAATGGAATTGCACAAGCCTTTCTTTGTGCAATCAAACCATTGTTATTGGTAGTTCTGTAAAGGAAACTGTGGAATCTAATTGGCAGTGGAGTCATAAATCTATTTACTGAGTGTGGCTTCCAAGAAATGTTGCAATTCAAAATGCACTAACTCCCTGATTTACTGGAGATTTGAAGATTCTAAATAATGTTGTTTTTTTAAAGCCTTTCCATGCAACTTTTGGCAACTCAACATAAAAAAAAAAGAAAAAATAACCCAACAGAGTTTCAGAATTAAGTATTCTCCTACTAAGTGATTGGAACTTGTAATATTTGCCACAGGACTGACTTATTTATTTTCTAGCTAGAAGCTCTTAAGTTCACTTGTTTATCAGGGCATATACAGAAGGGTTTGTGAAAACTCAATGTTGACTTTACAACTTTCTGACCTGGTGCATGAATTCTCAAGTACTGTATTTCACTGTGTTGGTGTGTCTGATGGAAATTTCGAGGTGATCCCACAAAAATATTTTATGTAGTGTGCCTTCAAAGAGAACCATTTATTTCTCTTCACTCGTGTCCCACAAAGTCACATTTGGTGGTGGTCAGCCAAGTCCCATCTGGTCCAGTTTTACTCTGTTCCCAATTTTAAAGAGAGATGGGAACAGGTTTGCCCTCGTGAGACCCACACCATTGCAATGATTATCTTGAGCACTTAAATTCCAGTGTTGGCTGTTGATGTGTTTGATATTCTGCTTGTCTCCCCATGGTTGAAATATGTCTGAAGAATAGCAGCATAATCTCTATTGGCTGTTTATACTTTTTTAAATTTTCCTGTGTTGTAAATATTGTATACTTTTGGTGATCCCAGCTATGTAACCTCTGCTCTGTAAGGTGATTATTTGTATATAGCAACATGGCCCAGTGATATTATATAGTTTCCCAATGGAGAGGTTATTGAGTAACCTTTGCATTAGTTTAAACACTACCAGAAGAATGCTGAGCCAACTATAAACACTCAATTTTGTATGTTTTCCAAATTGTACTTATTACTGCTTTTGATACTGTATTACGTGCCAATAGTTTCCCAATCACATAGCAGGCAAGAGATATTTTGTACTTTTTGATCCACTGTAATATTTAATAAAAAATGTTACTATCTGTTTCCTTTTGGGTCTGAGTGATCTGTCACTTCTTCCTGAGGAGCCCGATGTCCTCCCCAGGGTACTTTCTACCCCATTGTCTCCAAACTGGATAACAGCAATAATAACAGTGGTGATGATGGGGTCTGTAGTTTGTTGAGAACCTACTGAGGTAGAGAGGTGAATCAACTTGCCCCAGATCACCTGATAACAAATTGGCAGAGTCAGGATTTGAACCCAGGGCTCTTGGGTCTGTGACTTCCTTTGTATACCATACTCCTCTCCTGACAGATAACAAAAATCACTATTTATTCAGGCAACAGAGATTTACTCACATCTCCATTGCCAGGCATAGTAGCTGGGAATACAATGGTGAGTGAAAGATGAAGATTGTCTCTGGAGCTTATAAATCTTAATGAGAAATTAGAGCTAACCAAATAGTCACCCATATAAATAGAAAACCTCAGCCTGACCTAGTTCTGGGGGAGAGAAGTGTGGTGACTAAAGTGATACATGAAGAGGAAGTGGTGACTAAACTGATAAATGAAGGATGAGTATCAGTTGACCAGATAAGAGGGAATTGGGGGAAGACTATCCAAGCACAGGTACCACAGGTGCAAAGACCCTGAGGCAGAAACACATGTGGCTTCGTATAGGCATCAAAGAAAAAGCCTGTGTGACAAAAGCTTAATTACAAGGTCCAGGGCGTGAGGTGGAGGTAAGGTTAGAGAGTATAGCAGGGGACAACCAGGTAGGCCCCAATAGGTATGTCTTCTTAATCCTAAGCAAAAAGAGGTTTAAGCAGGGAGGTGGCCTGTTAGTCTCTTTCTGTGTTGCTCGCTGGCTGCTGTGTGAAGGCAGAGGGGGCGCAATCTAACACCAAGTTGGTGGTCATTTCAAATGAGGCGGTAGAATGGGAGCGTAGACACATTTCAGAGGTGCTTGCAAGGAGGGAGGACCAGACTTGGTGATGGATTAAGTGGGTCATTAGGTGGATACTCAGGAAGGATTGAAAAGCTAGGGAAAAAGAGTATTCTGACCTCTGGTGATGATATACAAAAGACTTCTGGATTCCTTCCCCTTAATCCTCTTCGTCCAGGCTTCCCCTGGGTTTTCCTCAGCTGATTATTAGTTGAAATGAGATGTTCACAAAGTAGCACCCTGCGTGCTCTCTTCTTTATGTGTCCCAGCGACTGGGGGGGAGGGAGAGGTGGACAGACTTTGATGAGTGTGTTAGTTTACAGCCCACACCATCTAAGCAGGAGGGACTTTGAAGAGACAGAAGAAAATAAGCCACAAGCAAGCATGTCACACAACTCGGGTGAGGAGGGGAACACATTTTGATAAATGACACAAGACCCTTTTTCGTACCGTGGCTGAGTTCCTTAGGAACCCTGCCCACCCTCAGGCCAGCAGGAGTTGCAGCAACATGTTAGGGGTCCCACCCTCTTCTTGTTGGCTGTCATCCCTTTGTTAATCCAAACACACCCAGCACAGGAAGAGCCCCTGGCCCCATGGTCTCCTTGCTCTCGTTCTGATTCATGTGTATTTCAGCATATCATTGCATTGCTGTGAGTACATCAAAAAGAATGTTCTTCCATCTATGACACATTCAGCATACATAGATCTGATACTTGAATCATACACAACAGGAAACATAATGATAAGTTATCTATTTTTACCAGGCCAAACTGGCAAATACTGTTGGGAAAGAGGGTGCTTTTGCTAAAGATGTCACTTACAGTGCAAAGGCAAGGAAAATGCCCAGTGATTTATTATAGGAAAGTGGCCAAAGTTGACAAATGTTTCAGGGCTGATAGTGACCAGGAAAGGGGTGATCATTTACATCAACAAGTTGTAAATGGCAGGAGGGGGAAGGGTGGTGGGTGACCTCTGGCCAGGAATAATTCGAAAGAAAGCGTATTCTTCAAGATTGACTTGGGGAGTATAGAAAATTGCATTAATTTGGGCCTCGCTAATTCAGAATTCCTGAATTTTGGAATCTCCAGGATAATTTCTGAGATTAAAAAACACACACACCAAACAAACACATTTGTTTAACCTTCTTAAAAGAACAAACTATTTTAATCATGCTAGCCATAACCATGAGCATTCAACCAGCCCAGCAAGGACAAGGTGATCTGCTCCCAGAGGCAAGCATACAGGAACACTACTACTTCAATTAGTGTTGAAACTTCCTCCAGAACAGAGCTGTCCAGTGGAACTTCCTGAGATGGTGGAAATGTTCTATCATTCAGAGTTTTCCAACACGGTAGCTACTAGAAAATGTGGCTGTTGAGCCCTTGAAATGTGTCTAGTGCGATGAAGGAACTAATTTTAATTCTATTTAATTTTTATTCATTTAAATTTAAATAGTTACAGGTGGCTAATAGTTACTATATTGAACAGCAAAGATCCAGAAGGTCCAATTGGCCAATGTGTGTATACAGATAGACTCAGTGACAGATAGGTCAATACCTGCACATAGACTTAACATAAACAATGAGGCAGGCAACATCGTGTCTTCTTGCCAAAACTTCATTAATCGATTAGGGGTGACTATAGATTTAACACTCTTTTTCACTCAGGATTTACACATCATAGGCACTTAAGTGCTAACTAAACAAACAAATGAATCATTGAGAGAGCATTAAGAAAAAAGTCTGGCCCGGCCAGCATGGCTCAGTCGTTGAGTGTCAACCTATGAACTAGGAGGTCATGGTTTGATTCCGAGTCCAGGCACATGCCCAGGTTTTGGGCTTGATCCTCAGTGAGGGGCACACAGGAGGCAGCTGATCAATGATTCTCTCTCATCATTGATGTTTCTATCTCTTTCTCTCCCTCTCCCTTCCTTTCTGATATCAATATATATAATTAAAATCTACAGTTATGGCATTTTGTAATCCAGTACTGCCTTTTATGTTGTCTGACTGTGTGAGACTTGAATGCAACTTCTAGAAAATCTATGCAACATTTGTGTGGCCATGTTTAAGCCACACTGCTTCTCTCCATAGCAGTTCAAAGGTTATCTCTGGAGACTGGGAGAGTATTCAGCATGAGGGAGAAGGCGAAGTGGGAAGAGAAGAACCAACGGACTAAGAGTGGAAGAATCCATGATGAACATAATTTCAGTGTCCTGGTCCTTGTACTTCACACCTGGGTATGGCCTGCCACCCTGGCCCAGAAATTCAAGTGACCAGCCAAAAATGTTGGCAGAACACCCCAAGGTTGTTTGTAAATTAATGAGGCAGAAAAGAGAGAAGACTCCAGGAAATAGTATTAGGAAATAAAAAAAAGAATGCAGTAGAGACTTTTTAAATTATTAGTGAATAGCATTTACTTTGAGCCTATGAACTGGAAAATTTCAGATGAAAGAAGCTGTTTCCTACAAAAATAGAAATTAACAAAACTTTCCCAAGAAGAAAAATAAAACTCAAATAATGATTTTAAAATATTTGATCAGGAGTCAAATAGTTCACCACAAAATAAAAACACAAGGCCCAGGTGGTTTTAAGAAGTATCAGAGAATTGAAAAGAGGAAAAGCTACCCAATTCTTTTTATGAGTTTATTTTTACCTCATTACTAAAATTAAAAAAGGATAGTGAAAAAGAGAAATAAGTATAGACCAATCTTTCTTATAAAGCAGATGCAGAAATACCAGGTAAAATATCAGCAAAATATAAACGTTTATGTTTAAATATATACATTCATATATACACATAAATATGCATATCTATGTGTGCATACATATTAAATGGCATACATATGTGAAACAATATTATATAATGACCAAGAAGACTTGATCCTAGAAATATAAAGATTATATTTAGAACATTAGAAATTCTATTAATAGAATAGCATATAAAAGCCAGCTGGAAAAATATGAAGTTTGATCCACATCTCAAACAATACACAGAATACTTTAAAAAAAATGGGAGAACTATTTTATCATCTGGAATGCGGAAATCCATTCTATGATTCAAAGTTTTGAAACTATAGAAGATTATCTAAATAAAAATTAATTATCTACAGGAAAAAATAAGCAAATCCAAAACGCAAATGTTACTTTGGTAGTAAATATTGCAATTCATATCCCAAAGGGCAGATCTCTCTATTATATAAACGAGTCTTAGAAATCAGGAAGAAAATGGTGAAATGACAGTCAAATACACAAATCTGAAGTGTACAGTTCAATGAACTTTGACAAACATGTACAGCCATGTGACCATGACTGAGAACAAAATATAGTTCACTGCTATTTTGGCAGAATGTTTTCTCATGATACTTTTCAGCCTATTTACCTACTCTAACCCATTTAGGCAGTCACCGTCTTGATTTCTATCATCAGATTTGTCTCACTTGTTTTTAGCACTTTTTAAAAAATTGGGAGCACAAAAATATTTACCATCACGTCACTGTTTTTACTTAACATAATACTGCAGGTCATTTTACTCAACAGATAAAGTATTAGACTGAATGAGAGAGCTCAGCACATTTGTTGGATATAAGGTTAAAATACCCAAGGCCATAACATTTTCATCTACCAGCAATAATTAAAATGATACTTAAAATTTTTTTTCATTTACAGTAGCAATAAAACCAGAAGGTACTTAAAAATAAATCTAACAAAATAATTGGGAAAGTAATTTGGCAAAATCCAGTAAAGCTGTAGATGTGGTTACTATAAACTCACAAGAACACTCCCAGGCATGTACTGAGAACCCTCCTCACACTTGCGTGCAAAGGTGTAAGTAGGGTGCTGCTCGTTGCAGCATTGATGCTCATCATATACACAGAAACACAGGGACACAAAACAACATAAATGTCCATAAGTTGAATAATATACAGTCATTCAAATGAATATTTTAAATGTCTATGCATCAATGTAAAGAAGCAATCAAAAATATAATGCTGGCCCTAACAGGTTTGGCTCGGTGGATAGAGCGTTGGCCTATGGACTGAGGGGTCCCGGGTTCAATTCCAGTCAAGGGCATGTACCTTGATTGCCGGCACATCCCTAGTAG